ATCAAACTTAGGTTTTGCCGTGTAAGAATATCCACTACCTCATATCATCTCGTGGGTGTCGTAAGAGGCGACAGAAGAAAACAAACAAGGAGACGAGCAGCAGCGCTTTTCTAATAACGACTAAAAATAAAAATAAACTGCGGTTGCCAACCCGCTTGCCAAGCGTGGCAACTATGGCAAACATCCCTCCTATGAGGCAATCTATGGTAGAGCCCTATGTTTAGCAGTGGACTTTAATAGGCTGTAAAAGTAAGTGTAAGGTTAGGTTCAGTTTTAAGCAAGGCTAATGCTATATTTTTTTCATTTCATGTTTCTGATAAATCGGTGAATATATTGATACATAAAAAAGAACATGCCAGTCGAATATAGAACCTTCTTCTGTAGTTCAGTAGATCTCTTTTGATCTCGGTTAAAAATAACCGTTGCTTGCATTACATGAACTCAACAATGAACTTCGTCCTGAACTTGATCAATTCAATAAAAATTATTATGACGTGTATCAAATTGTATTAAAATCTATTCCACTTTATTATGAACTATATTAAGTTGATATAAAATACATTTCTCGTTGTACACAAATGGCAATGTGCGATTTAACTTGTTTAAATGGAAAATAGACTTTAAATGCGTACTTATTAGATTTGTATTAGTTTGAAAATTGATTGAAAAGCTAAAATGTGTCGCATGGCCTCATTGCAAAGGCTTCATCGCATTAAGGATCACGTGTTCAGGATTTTTTGTCAGAGTGCTGTATTTATTTACGTAAACAATCGATAAGGTTTGTGAGACTTAATAGTAATTTTAAAATATTTAGAAATTTCAAAAGTTTTCCCTAACTTTAAAAAGAGGAATTACCTAACTCTCACTTGAATTTATGATTCACCGAAAATATTTCTCAAAAGGGTCATCGACTTTCGTTAATATCGATACAATAAATGAATTTTAATTGTGATCATCTTTTTTTTTATAAAATGGAAATGACAAACGAACTTACAGTTCATCTGATGATGCGTTATCACATCTGAGGTCTCCTAGTGGTAAATTTAAAATTCTGTACAAACGACTTCAATGTGAATATAATTTAGTGTTGAGTTTTCAAAAACCCCTCGACCGATATCGATAAAATTTAAACGGGACCACTTGGAAAGTATACCCTTTGAAACAAAAAAAAATATTTTCAAATCGGATCAGGCGTCTTTGAGTAATCGGTGAACATAAATTTAAAAAAAAAGATACCGACGAATTGGGAACTTCCTCCTTTTTTGAAGTCATTTGAAAATAGAATGCCTCACAGTTTGTAGTTATATAGACTTTGTTAATGGCTGATTTACACGGGGACAGTAACTGGCTACAAATTCGAGGCAAGTCAATGGTGACGCGCTACTAGCATAATGTAAATTGATTTGAAGTCAGTACAGCACTGTCTGTGCGACTACTGACAGCGTGTAAACGGTGCAAGTCAGTCATCGGCGCCAGCACTGGCACCTGTTACTGTCCCCGTCTAAATCAGCCTTAATATTGAATTATATTGACGGATTACAACTGGCAAACACTGCTATTTGGCGGCACGAATAGTTTTTAGAGGGTGGAATAGTTTTAAGAGGTATGAGGAAGCTCAAGGTCGCTCAGCGAGCTATGGAGAGGGCTATGCTTGGGGTGTCTCTGCGTGATAAACTTATAAATGAGGTTATCCGCAGTAGAACCAGTGTAACCGACATAGCCCAACGCATTAGTAAGCTGAAGTGGCAATGGGCCTGCCATATACCTCGAAGAACCGACAACCGATGGGGAAGAAAGGCGAGTGGCTGCCTCGTACCGGTAGGCGAAGTGTAGGGCGACCCCCCACTAGATGGAGTGACGACCTGGTGAGACATGCAGGAAGTCGATGGATGCAGGTGGCTCAGGACCGTGCTTTGTGGCAGACGGACATCTAAACAGAAAATGTGTCCTACCAACCACTAAATTATCATCTAAAGGATAATGGGAATATTTGGTAAGATAGTTCACATGTTAATCAACAGCAACAACAACCTTGTTCGTACGCGTACCCACAGACCAACTGAGCAGTAAGTACTTCATTAAGTACTTACAGTAGTTTAATAATTACACCTTAATCCCATTTTGTTTACTCTTTTACCTCATTTTTACACCCACATTAGTCACGTAATCTATACATATATACATACATACATATAATCACGCCTCTTTCCCGTAGCGGTAGGCAGAGACCACTTCTTTCCACTTGCTACGATCCTTACATACTTGTTTTGCTTCGTTCACTTTCATTATTCCCTTCATACATGCTCTTCGGTTTAGGATACTCTTGACCTGGCCTAATCTATACAAATAAATAAAATTGAAGTGTCTGTTTGTAATGTCAAAATTACAGCTTTTTACTAAATGCGTATGAAAGTATATACGGTACTTATAACAAAAATACAATTTTAAAGTTTTTGTCTGTATGTCTGTCTGTCTGTCTGTTTGTTTCGGCTAATCTCCGAAACGGCTAGACCGGTTTTGATGGAATTTTCACTGCCAGATAGCTGATGTCACAATGACTAATTTAGGCTACTTTTATTTAAGAAAAACAATTAGGGTTCCGGGCAAAAAACAAATAAAAACTCCAAATAACACGCGGGCGAAGTCGCGGCGAACAGCTAGTCTATAATATTTTTTTATAGGATAGGGTGACAAACGAGCACACAGTCCACCTAATGGTAAGTGGTTGCTGTGGCCCATAGACATCTACATTTATCCTCGTTTGCGAATCAAAATGTAGATGCGTTGTCACCCGTGAGGACTAGGATGGAATGCCTCATTTCCAGTAAAAAGGGCCTCCGGTCACCTGCACTCACTAAGCGAAACGCAGAGGTAAACCTCTACTTTACGCTGGTATTCTGTGAGGTCGTGGAACCACCCCGGTTCGAGCCGGCCCATCCGTGCGACAGCAAAAGCTGCCGCCTGGCTCTACCACTGTTAATTAATAAGATTGAGATTTCCGTATTACTATTTGCTGGTTTGCTATTTTAATTTAATAAGAGAGACGTTTATAGGTTAACTTCTTACACATCTATCTATCATCATCATCATCATTACAGCCCTTCACAAGTCCACTGCTGAACATAGGCCTCCCCCAAAGAATGCCACAAAGCACGGTCCTGAGCCACCTGCATCCATCGACTTTCTGCATATCTTACCAGGTCGTCACTCCATCTAGTGGGGGGACGCCCTACACTTCGCCTGCCGGTACGAGGCTGCCACTCGAGAACCTTTCTTCCCCATCGGTTGTCGGTTCTTCGAGCTATATGGCCGGCCCATTGCCACTTCAGCTTACTAATCCGTTGGGCTATGTCGGTCACTCTAGTTCTACTGCGGATATCCTCATTTCTGAGTTTATCACGCAGAGAAACTCCGAGCATAGCCCTCTCCATAGCTCGCTGAGCGACCTTGAGCTTCCTCATCCGGCCAGCAGTGAAGGACCACACTGCTGCCACATCTATCTCATCATCATCATCATCATCATTACAGCCCTTCACAAGTCCACTGCTGAACATAGGCCTCCCCCAAAGAATGCCACAAAACACGGTCCTGAGCCACCTGCATCCATCGACTTCCTGCATGTCTTACCAGGTCGTCACTCCATCTCGTGGGGGGACGCCCTACACTTCGCCTACCGGTACGAGGCTGCCACTCGAGAACCTTTCTTCCCCATCGGTTGTCGGTTCTTCGAGCTATATGGCCGGCCCACTGCCACTTCAGCTTACTAATCCGTTGGGCTATGTCGGTCACTCTGGTTCTACTGCGGATATCCTCATTCCTAAGTTTATCACGCAGAGAAACTCCGAGCATAGCCCTCTCCATAGCTCGTTGAGCGACCTTGAGCTTCCTCATACGGCCAGCAGTGAAGGACCACGTCTCAGTTCCGTAAGTCATCACTGGCAACACGCACTGGTTGTACAATTTCGTTTTAAGGTTTTGAGGTATGTCTGACGAGGAGATGTGTCGTAGCTTCCCGAACGCTGCCCAGCCGAGTTGAATCCGTCGATTGACCTCTCGGTCGAAGTTGGACTTACCCAGTCGGACTATTTGTCCCAGGTAAACATACTCGTCAACAACTTCGAGCTTAGTGTTCCCAACAACTACCGGCATAGGTGTGACATGGACATTAAACATGATCTTAGTTTTGTCCATGTTCATCTTAAGACCTATCCGTTGGGAAACACTATTGAGGTCATTGAGCATAGTGCTTAGGTCCTCCAGCGATTCTGCCATAAGGACTATATCGTCGGCAAATCGAAGGTGAGTGATGTACTCGCCATTGATGTTGATACCGTATCCTTTCCAGTCCAGAAGCTTGAAAACGTCTTCCAATGCAGCGGCGAAGAGTTTCGGGGATATGACGTCACCCTGTCTTACACCTCTCTGCAATTGGATAGGTTTCGTACTCTGGTTCTGTACTCGGACACATCTATCTATATAAATAAAATTATAGAGGTTTGCAGTTGTGCGGGCATCACGGAAAAACTACTGGACAGGTTTTAATTAGGTTTTCTAAGTTTTATTTCTTAGACACTTGACCCTTTACCTAAAAAAATATTGCGATATCTTCATTTAATATAAAATTATTAAAGTTTTAAGAACGCGGACGAGGTCGTGTGTATCAGCTAGTCTAAGAATAAATAAAGAATATTAAAGGAAAAAAAAGTTAAATGTTGATAAGTATATTTTAGGCAACTAGCAGTACTGATCACTATTTGATATTGATGTAAACAAACACGTTTACATTTTAAACGACCGGAAATAATTAGTGCTTAAGTAATGATTTCATTAAAATATAAGAAAGACAGGACCTACAAAATCACATCCTTAGAGTGTACTTAAGCTTACTTATGCATACTTGTAAGATCCCAACCACATACGAACGAAACGAATTATTGACTTGGTGTCAATAATTCGTTACTTAATAAAAACTAAAAAATAGTAATTAAATATAATCTTACCTTGGTCTTCTAGAAGGCACTAAAGAAGTCAAAGGTCCAGCTGATTTCCGCCTGCCCTTCACCACTGGTACAGCTAATAAATCGTCTTCTTCTGTTTCGGATCCTGTACTCTCTACATTAATTATTGCGGGTGCCGACATTCTCCTATCTGGAATTTTCTTTGGAGGTTCAAGCATCTTCCTGATGACCTCACAATACTTGCAGGCATTGGCTTCAGCGAAGTACGCCTTTGTAATAGCATACGCATAATTTTCTAAGAAACACTTATGGCACCCTGGTACATAATTATTTTCTAAGTCCATTGATTCTTCACTCGGGTCTTGCTTTTTCATCATTATTTTCTTTTCCATTGTCGCTAAATTTATATTAAATATTTTCTTACATTCTTCCTTGTACCTTTTCTCTTCCTCCTCTCGCTTTTTCTTGCGTATTTCTTTTAAGCACTCGTCTTGATCGTTGTAGTATTCGATGCATCTGCGTTCATTTTTGGACGGTTTAGTCGGACTTCGTTTTCTTACTTTTTTATTGCTAATATTAACATTAAGTGGCTCTATTCTCAATGATTTCATTTGTTTTATAATATGTTCTTGAACGTAAGGGCGCGTGTAATACGATAATTCATCTTCGTCATTGGCAATGCTCTGAGCGTAGTTTGTTTTGGCACATGCATCGTTGTCTTTGTTTCTATTAGCTATTTTATCTTGTTTACTCAACTCTTTGATCTCCCGATCTCCGTTGATTTTATAGCCGTTTTTTTCTGTACACTTCAAGGATGATGAGTCGTCGTCGAGACACGTTTCATAGCCGTCTATTTCATGATCTATGTACAATAATGTATTATTTTGTTCTTGGACGGATATTCTTGTGGTTGCATCATAAAAGCTACTCGTTTCATCCGTAGGCGAATTCAAGCACTCTTTCCAGCTTTCATCACTTTTTACCTTTTGTAACGTTTCTTCCTTAGCATCCGCTACATCGCTCTCTTTCCAATACTTTTCATAACTTATTCTTTCTAAGCCTGTAGGTGTTACAGCGAAAACCATTTCATCGGAGGTAGATAAGTCCTTACTATTTTGTTTAGAAAGACTTCTGCTTCCACATGTCTCTTTTCTGTCTGCAGATTTACTTCTTATATTTAATTCTCTCGGTGAAACTAAGACATCGTCCTCGGTTATTGTCATATCGTCGTCTTGGTCATCCAAGGATTCTTCGGATTTGGAAGACTTATACTCCGTTGTACCATTATATTGTTCTGTATGCGGTTTGTCTTTCTTAATAAAATCGTCTAATTTGTTTGCTTTCTTATAACAATCATCGAAGCTGATGTCACATAATGCGGATAGTTCGTCGTCTTTGATTGATGACTCCTCTGGCTCTAAACAAATTTGAATAACTTCAATTCCTTCTCCATATTCTTGAAGGCACTCGTGAAAAGAATCCATGCCAGTGTGATCGTCTGAAGCAACGGAGTTCACGCATTCCTGTGAATTTAAAATTTTGTTACTTTATGGACAACAAAAGCTGTTAAATATATTTACTGCACACAAGAAAAGATGAGATGACCACATATTTAAACACATATATGCACAATGTTTTTTTTATATAATATACAGGGTTATTTTGGAATAACTAGCCAAATTTGCGGGGAAGGATCGGAATAAGTAATATAGCCAAATGGTGAAGAAAAAATAATTAAAAAAACTCAAAAATTCTGTCTATTTTACCTTTTAAATTCAAAATGTGTAGTAATGCATTATTTAACTGACTGTCTACTATTTTGCTACGCACGCACACATTCGTAAGGGTCGCTCAGTCGGCAACAACGTTGTAAATTGAATCGCACACAGAGGAGCGCGCGTACGATTCGTTGTTGCCCATAAATCACATTCAATTTGGGATAATTTCAAATAAAAGTAGAAGCCTTATTTACTCGTATTTTCGAAAACTGCAATAACGGTATATCATTATTTATATATTACAACTTAAGTTTAAAATTTAGCTACTACTAGAAAAATAACCCTCTCTATTAATTTAATTTCGTTTGAAAGTGTCTTCATAGATCTTTAAACTTTATTTGGGTATATGTGACCTTTGTAGTCTAAAATGCAATTTTTGTAGGTTGATATTTGTTACAGTTGAAGATAACAATGGGGCTAACACGTCATTTCAAAATTTTAGCATCAGCAAATTCGGTTGATGATGTCGCACTTACTGCGCTATAAACATTCAAAAATCAAGACTAGAAGAGGCTAGAATATTTTTCTATGAAGCTGATTCAAACATATTTAAATATACAAAGACGTGTATTGGCAGTATAAATGTCGTCACAATACTGACGGCCCTGGTTTAATTTTATTCTTTCAATTAAATTATATCAAAGTAAATATTTTAAAGAGAAATATTAATTTGTAATTTGAATAAAAAAATAATAGCTGTCCTTGTCAGGCGCTGCAATGCCTTTTTTCTTTTAGAAAAATTTGCTTGCGCGCGCACAACAACTCACTTAATAATTGCATAGTTGGTATACATAGTTCGCATATGGGACAAACATTATGTATATAAAAAGACATATAAACATTCCTCGATACATCTTGTAAAATGGTATACGTAGTTAGTAGTGACACTGTAGTTATATTATGGTTGTAGGACGAAAGGGTTGGCTCTACTGGAAAAGGACCACCACGGTCTTTACGGTATTTTAGCTTAATTCTGCTGTTTCGTACGGTGATTTTAGATAACCGGAGACCGTTTTTACTGAAAATGAGGCATTCAAGCATAGTCTTCGGTGTTGACAACGCATCCACATTTTATGTCATTGATGTCAATGTGCCACAGCATCCACTTACCATCACGTGAACTGTGTGCTTGTTTGTCACCCTTATTCTATAAAAATTAAAATAAAATAATTTAAAATTTAAAATTTTGTACAACCGACTTCAATATAAATTATTAAGAATAACTGAAGAACTATTGGTCAGACCTTGATCAAATTTATATAGAACCACATGTGAAGCACAAGTTTTAAAATAAAAAAAAGAATAATCAAAATCGGTTAACCTGGAAAAAAGTTATGAGGTTACACAAAAAAAAACATATAGTGTTATTTTTAAGTGGGTAGAAAATGAAACAACAATATATTTTAATAACGTTTATTACAATACACCTAACATAGCATTTTACACAAATAACAACATTCAACACAAATCTTACAGCTACGAGTACCTACATAAAGCCTTACATTTCACAACAATTTTCAACTCTACATTTTTATTTATTTTTTTATTTTTAAATATTTTTAACTTGTAGCTGAAATTTCATTGTAGAAACAATTTTTCCGTTCATTATAAAATAAATTTGATATCGCTGTCTCTTTGTTATGAAATCTTTGTAAAGCTACTAAACCAGTTAAATCCATATTACCTAACATTAACATTAAGTTGTTCTCTTAAATAATCAGCAGGCTGAACTGGCAATGGACCGGCCAAAATAATACGTAAAACCGACAACCGATGACGACAAAAGATCTCAATTGGCACCAAAGTGTAGAGCGGCCCTCCACGAAATGTAGTGATAACCTGGTAGAACATGCAGCATGTTGTTGGATGCAAGTGTTAGGGGAAGCCTATGTCCAGACGAGGACTTGTGAAAGTATGTAATGATGATAATTTTCAATAATTTAATATGTAATGATTTCTTATATTTACGCAAGACTACACATGCCTTTAGCGCATCAAAAAAAATCACGTTTAACATGATTATACCTAATGTTTTTAAAGTAGTTTAAAAACACAAAAGTTTTCACTAATAACCTTATTACTATACTTCAAATTTTGCGAGTAACTTTGGTATATGCTTAGGCTGCCGCAGCGTCATACAGAACCGTGAGTTGTTGGAATGCGCTTTATGCAAAATGAAATATGATATAAACACAATGTTGTTGAACAACTCGTTAAAACTGTAGATGCTCCATTATCTGCTGAGGAGAATATTAATGTAACGCGGGTTTCTAAGCTGAGCAAAAATTTCGGCCACATGCAGTGATAGTGAAGCTGCGTGCACCCAGACAACGATGACTGTAATCACATAATTTCTACTAATTATAATAATGATTTACGACGCTGTCTAGTGGATTCCTTGTCTATGAATAATCTATACCAATTCAACCAAATAAGGAAATCGCATGATAGAACCCTGGATTTGGCCTTAAGTAGATTGCAATGCCTAAATGTCTCTCAACCCTTAGATTTGTTAAGTAAACTTGATCTGTACCATCCCCCTCTTCTCATTGAAATATCAGAACTTAATTTTGAATATGACAAAAATTTGCCACCTAAGCCACTATTAAACCACTACCATTTTAAGGACTCTAAGGACGTCCATGATTTTGTTACTGAATTTTACAAAAAACTTAGGAGTGAAATTGTCAGTCACGTACCCAAACACATATATAAGCCAACTCGGAACCCACCAAGATTTACGAAAACTCTTACAAAACTTACAAAAGATAAGGAAAAACTTAGAAAACGATATGCCAAGTACGACGTTCCTAGGTTTGTCGTACTTATCTCTAGAAATAAGTATGGATACAACCTTCTTCGCGAACGATGCCATAAACTTGTTAATATCTGCTACAATAATTACATGACGAAAATTGAGTCTAGCATCTGTAAAGATCCGGACAAATTTTGGCGTTTCATCAAAGATAAGCGCAAAGGTCTTTCTGTACTTTCCGCTAAAATGATACTGAAAGATTCAAATGCATCCTCAGGCACCGATATAAGGAACCTTTTTGCAAGTCACTTTTCTTCCGAGTACTCCAATAATAGCGTTACCGATGTTTCTCGTAATTTCATTGCTACGCATGAATTGAGCGAGTCACAAGTGTACACAAAAATACAATATATTAATGAAAAAAAGGACCTGGCCCTGACAACATACCACCCCTATTTGTGAAATGCTGTGGATCCGTTCTTGCCTTCCCATTGACATTAATATTTAATCGGTCTTTAAACAAAGGAAAGTTTCTCGATGAATGGAAAAAAGCCAGAATTATCCCAATTAATAAGAAAGGTGATAAGACTGACGTTACGAACTATCGACCTATCTCCATATTATCGTGTTTTTCTAAATTATTTGAATGCCTTGTTTACCCCATAGTCTACAGCCATACTGAAAACATTATATCTGATTTCCAAGATGGTTTCAGGCGTGGTCGTTCGGTAGAGTCTAATTTGTCTTCCTTCGTATCCGTGGTAGCACAGGGCGTGGACAGGTTACTGCAGGTAGACGCAATTTATACAGACTTTCCAAATGCCTTTGCCAAGGTTGGCCACCAAGATCTGCTGTCTAAACAAAGAGGAATGGGCATAAGAGGTTCACTGTTGTAGTGGTTCGAATCTTACCTGGCAAAGAGACCTCAGCAAGTGGATATACATGGATTTAAGTCTGAAATGTTTTTGGCTGAGTCTGGTGTCCCCCAGGGATCCTACTTGGGGCCTCTACTCTTTTTGATATTTATTAATGACATAGTTACAGATATAGAAAATAGTAGTGTAACTATGTTTGATGACGATCTAATTGAGTAGAACGATCAAAAGTCTCGGGCGTGCTGATCTCCTGCAATGTGACTTAAACAAGCTCATGGATTCGTGTGCAATCAATGGAATGGTTTTAAATTCAAATAAATGCTACCACATAAGCTATACTAGAAAAAGACCCCCCATAACTATTACCTACTCATTAGGTGCGTGAATTTCTTTTTACCTTCTCAGCACACACTCATTCTTTAGTTAGTTTTTTCCTAATGTAAGTTATTTTGTATTAAGTACCATTATAATATAATAAGCTACACATTACGTTAAATGTTGTGTATACCTGTAATGGGCAAACATATTTAACCATTTACTTTTGTTATCGCGTTGTTGTTGTTTTATGTGTTTTACTGTTGTTGTACCTTATAAAAAAAATAAAAAAATGACTAACAAAACGAGGCCTAACTCGGCACACCTAGATCTACTAGTCGAGGAGTTCCAGATAATCAAAGTACACCTTCGGGTCTCTATAAAGTCCAAGACGTATAAGTAAATTTATATATAAATCCTGTGTGCTTTTCGAGCGCAACAAACTATTGTATAAAAATCTGTGATTATATAAAACAATAATAATATCTTACCTTCGTCATGTATGTATGTATGTATCAAATTTGGTTTTTGGAATATTTTGTATTTCTAATGCCATCGATTTTTTTCAACACGAACCGCTGATAACAAACGACCACTCATGATGGAACTGAGCCCGGAGTTAAAAGTACTCTGTGGCCGGGAGTGAGGCAAAGTGTGTTTGGTAAAAATAAATAAATTAATACAAAGCTGCTCAAAACATCGAAAATTTCGCTATTTCTCGAAAACAATAATCATACCTAAATAAAACAAAATTAAACTCTCGTTTACATTCCAAAGCTTCCCACATGATTGTTAAAGAC